GAGGATGAGGATGAGACGTGATGAGACGAATGAAAAGTTCAAAGTACTCATTATGCAGAGTGACCCAGTTTCAAGTGTTGTAATCATCATATACATGAATATGTATTGAGTATTAATTGATTAATTTACACGTAGGCTACATGTAAGCAGCATTTAAATGTTGTCATGGTAGAACTAATTTTAACACCTTTCACTAGTGTACTAGTCTAATATATAACAACACACAGCAACTTGTAAATATGAAACAACAACATATAAAACAAACTATCTGAAAAGTAACTATAGCTATTAAATAAATGTAGCTTGAGTAGAATGTACAGTATTTCCCTCTAAGTATAAAGTAGCACAAAATGGAAATACCCAAAGTACAAGTACATCACATTTGTACTTAAGTGCAGTAGCTACTTGAGTAAATATACTTAGTTACTGTCTATCACTGCATTTGTCTCATCATTATGCTTTCTGTCTACATTTTTATGTAGACTTGACAGTTTACTTGGTGCACCTAGAAAAAACAAAAGCAGTTTAATGTTGTATTAAGTCTGACATTTTATTGAAGTGTTGAGTTGTAGATTGTGGTGCTGTTGAACTGTACTGGATTACACTGACAGCAGTTACTCCGTGGTGCTGTGCGCCGGATGAAAAAACAAGCGCGTCGCACCGAATGTGCGCCACTACGGCGTCGCTTTGGTTTGTGAATGCACATGACGCACGTCTACATTGAAAGTAATGGGTTTGTGCGTGCAAAACACGCTACATCTGAACTCCCCCCATGCACACACACACACATGCTTTAACCAAGGCCAAAATTACCCAGGTGGCCCGCCTTTGTCTTAGATAGGCTGGGAAAACCCTGTGTTTGGGATCAAGCTGCTCGAGTTGATTTGTTGGCTCGGTGTTTGTGCTCGTCTCCTCCATGTAGGCAGCGTCAGTCTCGCTTTGAGTGAATGCAGACTAGATGGAGGGGGCGGAGTCACGTGACTTACATGGCATAGTTTTTTTTTTCATGGGGACAGCACAGGGAAAGTAATACCCAAAATCACTGTCATGAGTAAAGCCCTATTCGGACGGGATTAGTACGTAGGGTAAAGTAATAATTACCAGAAATTTTAGTCCCGTCCGAATGTGCCATGTATCATTACCGCACGATGTCAGTAAAGATTGCCACGGCTTTTACCTTCTGTAAAAGGGTCCCGGACCAGCAGTAAATATGTGTGTAGATATTTCGTCATATCCTGTTTACAAGTGGTTTTTCAGACTATAGAATAGGACTGACAACCTCTCCAATGTCTCATGTCACTATTTGTCGGCTTTTTATAATGCCTTTTTTTTTTTTGCGGATGCACTGCTGCTGCACTGCTGCTGCGCCGTGTCTTAAGTTGAATTTACAATAATTTCACAATAATAAATTAGATCATCTTTTGGTCTATAATATTGTTGGCTATATTACGCATTTTAATAAAAAAACAACAACAATAAAAAAAAAATAAACACCGAAATATTTACTGGAAACTTTTTTTTTTTTATTGATACTCCTCCTCTCTGACAGAGGACACAACAGAGCCGGTTATCACACAGTTAAAACACAAATAAAAGCCTAGTAATGAAACATAACTTACCACAATCACCTCGGCTGCAGTGTTTTTGCATCAGAGTCCAATCTAAGTGGGATCTGCCCGAATTTGACAAGCGAACAGTCGCGTTACGGACACAAAAACAGCATTACGCACATGACGACAGGAGGGGACAGCAGTGCCTGAATGGATTTACCCCTCCCACTTGTGGTAGTTTTACTGATATTTCTTATGCTGTGCGAATTGGCCATCAATATTACCAACGTCCTGTGGTAAAGTGACATTACCCCACATGCCCATGTAAAACTAATCCTGTCCGAATTAGAGGTCAGTCAGTTAGAGGGTCTGAATGTTGGTTTCGGTATATTTTCGGTTAATTGCCCAGCCCTAACATATCAGCTCTTTGTCAGTGGCCTTACAGGTCTACATATCACACGTCAGATAGCTCCCTGCTTCTGCTATTGACATTCCAGGGTGCTGCAGCCAAGGTCGGGACATCAACAAAGCACATGGTTAGGTTTAACAAAAACATCGTTTGGTTCTACATTCATACAGGAAGTGAACACTGGGCTCTCAGGTGAAAGTCCTGGCTTTGTTGGACCCATCCACCCCCAATTATAAAAAACTGTGAAACTAGGCATCAGTGGAATGCTCATAACACTTTCACAGTTCATCATGTGTATTGATAACTTTCTAGAGAGTGAATAAGTTGTTCTCTACAACAGCACTGTTTAAACTTACATCAGGACATTTGTGTTTCAGGTGTCACAGTGAGCACCGTGGTGGATCTGCAGAAGAGAATTATTGGAGGTCAAGACTGTGGACAAAAAGAGCGTCCTTACCATGTGAAGTTGAGGATAACTGATGGTGCCCATGAGATGTTTTGTGGTGGCTCTCTGATCAGTGACCAGTGGATTCTGACTGCAGCACACTGCCAGGAGCCAGGATGGTGAGAAAGTGACAGTTTTACTTGAACCAGTAATAATATATTTCTCACTCACATATTCAGTGTGAAAGTCCTGAAGCAGCAATCAACAATGATTTGATGTAAATTCCCAAAATAAGGACATCAGTGCTTATGTTCATGTTGATTAATTATATTCTAGGAAAATATATGCAACTTTAGGTGTGCATCCGGGGCCAGGAACACCAGTGGAAATCAAATCAGCACCTGACGTCTTTAAGCGCAAAGATGTCTTGAAGATAGACAGGATTCATGACATCATGCTGCTGAAGCTACCTGAACGTACTAAGATTAAACCTGTGGAACTTCCTGACTGTAACAGTTGTCCCAAAATGTGAGTTGTGTTCTTTCCCCTTTATTAAGTCTGAAAGCTCAGCTGCTGAAGAGCTCAAAGTTTGAAATTCCTCTGGGAATCTTTTTAAATGTGAAATCATCAGTGGTAAAGTAGTTTGTCTTTTGAATTACTTCAATTTATGTTACAATAACATTCTTTTAATTGTTTTTGTATTGTATTTCAGAGATGATACAGTTCAGATTGCAGGTCATGGAGCCACAACTAAAGGCCCAAATAATGAAAGACGTAAGATTAATCTTGTTTATTTTAAAATAACAGTTTTCTATGTTTAGTAAGTGTTCTTGGATTTGTTTGTATGTTTGGTCACACTGCTGACATATCTTTACATTTAATCCATTTTAATTTAGTTTTAAATTGACTAGTTTTTAAAAGACGTTCTTTTCAAGCCTTACTCTGCACATTTTAAGATGTATGGGAAATTAATTTAATAATATATTTTTTTGTAACAAAACAGATGAATAATGTCATTTAAAGATGCTCCTTGATATTTAAAAACATCTTGAAATGTGTTTGGATGCATTTGATAGAAAAAAAATAAGTATAAATTATTCATTTGTTGGTGAAATTAATTTGTGTGTTAAGAAGATAATTATTTATTTTTGTAGTAAAGAAACTTTTTTTTAATTTCCATCTAGTGGATGATGTATCTGCTACTCTCCAGTGTGCAAACACCAAGGTTGTTGACTGTCGGGGGCTCAGAGCCTGTGTGGAGAAGCGTGGCCCACAGTTTTATGCATCTAAACGTGATCAACACTTGTTCTGTTGCCAAGAAGAAAACGTGGATATCAGTCCTGTAAGTTGGTTTGTCTTTTAACCATGGATCGTTTCCACAAGTTATTTCAAGTTTTACCACTTTAATATAAATAATCATTTCAATAAATTATGCAAATATCTGTATTAAACAATATAAACATGTCTCTCACAGGGTGACTCTGGTGGAGGAGTGGTGTACAATGACATGATTTACGGCGTCATTTCTTTCCATGGCAATGACTGTGTTGAAGCAGCTGCAGTGATGGACGGCTGTGGATACAAAGAGTGGATCATACGCAAAACTGGCAGTATCTTCACTAAAAAGGTCAAAACGTTGCCATGTTTTGGCCGTTTTTAACTGTAAAATGTCCTGCCATTTAACAGACATTTCCATCGATTGGTTCACATTAAATGTTCAGCTGTTACTTGTAAAACCCTTTAAGACAAAAAATGTCATGATTCTGCAACATAGCTTCACAAGGTAGTGTCTAAGTTTCTAATTCAACAGATTTTCTATGTTACCATACATTGTGTAGAAAATCTTCAAAGGGACAAACACTACAGTCTGCTGCTTTTTAAACAATGCTGATAAAAATGATAAATGACTTTTCTCTCACAAGATTGTGTCTGTTAAAATAAAATTACAATGCATCACAATCATTGTTTAACAGGTTGCTGTTGTTTGTATTATTGATCCTCAAAAAAAAACATCTTTTAACTTGCAAGTACAGATATTATTTGACCACTTGAGGCGTCAGAAACAAGTTGTAATAGTTCATTTACACTTTTGGCAGTTCAGGAGGATTGTTATCATGGACACCTGATAAATGTAAGTCTAAATATTAACTCTCCTTAAAGCTGTGTTTTTTTGTCTTGACCAACTCCTGAGGCTGATAATTGGCTATTGTTAACCGGTTAGCTAACTGTGTCTGTCTGCTGTCTGGCACTGAGCAGACAGAGTACAGTGGGTTTATAAAGCTTTTTTGCCTGCTGTGTGTGAATCATTAATAATGATTCAACTGATGCTTCACACACATCTCCAACCCAGCAGCACAGTAGACCTATACAATTACAGCAGGTTCAGGTGGACAATGTCAGAGAACTGTTTTTACAGAACGTTATGATGTCACTGTGAAGTTAGTATCTGAATTATTAAGTTATGACAAAAACAGCCTGCCACCCTCACAGCAGACATATAGAAGAGAATAAAGTGTTTAGAAAAAAGGGAGCTAATTTAAATCATATATTTTGCAATTGCAATTTATTTATTTAATTATTTTGATTAATAAACAATGTACAATGTATTACAATCTAGTAGGAGATCCAATTTTTCCAATTCAATTTTATTTATAAAGCCCAATATCACAAATCACAATTTGCCTCAGAGGAATTTACAGCATACGACATCCTTCAGACCCTCACAGTGGATAAGGAGAAACTCCCCCCAATAAAGTAGAGATGACAGTGTGTTACTTCAAATCTAGACATGTATCTGATCTGACACTTGAACTGGACTGTATTCATCATTAGTATCATTAATGACACCTGTGTTTCTTCTGAGAAGTCAAAATGTTTGCCATGAAAAAGGTCAAATCAGAACCTCTCTAACAGACTCTTCATGAAAATGTAACTTAATCGTCTTCTAAGTTTGACAAAGGTAGTATTTATTGCAGGACTGAAGAAATAGTCATTCCCAACTGCTCCAATTATTTAGTTATTTATTAATGCTTACAATACTCAGTAACAAGATGCTGTGGAAAGCCTGGACTTCAGGTCATTCTAGCAAATTTCTTTCTTAATTCTTGGTCTGAAAGTGGCAGTTTCAGTTGGGCAGCACTTACCTGCTAAGTAAAACATTTTTAATGAAATCAAACATGAATCTGCCTTAAAGATGCAGTTTAGACATTTTTATAACTGCTGATTCAATAAATTACATCTACTGTGTGAATCACAACGCTGAATTTATCAACAGGTGAGGCAGTTGCCGTTGTGGAGGATATTTCTCGTCAACTCAGAGCTCATAGAACCCATTGGCTCAGCTATGAGCCTAGAAAATAACAATCTGCTAACAAGAATGAAAGTCAATAACACTGCTTATGGTAGATCACTCTGATTGGCTGTTCAGGTTTTATTTCCTCACCCCTGTAGCGAGTGAATCTGCCTGTAGTGAAACCAGGGCTAACTGGTGCTTCCTCCTCAGGCTCCACTTCACTCAGCTGCCCGACAGACCCGCTGCTTCTTCCCATTTTAACCTGAATAACAAACTGAGGCTAGTTAGCCTCAGCTAGCTTCCCAGCTAGCCCCGGCTCTCTGTTTGGATCCAACCGGAGCACCGAGCCCTGGTTTGTTATTCAGGTTAAAGAACAAACAAAAAGTACATGCTACTTGGCCGTCGGATGTAGTCTTTGTAGTGTGTTCAAATGCAACTGACACAGGGCGACATGAGGCGACGTAGATTACGCAACAGTTGGCTTTCGTCGCTGCTAGTTCTTTGATGCACCTTTAGGTAGTGTGTTGAAATGTGAATGGGATGTGAGATGATTGATTATGTGATACAAAGCCAGGGTAAGTTCAGAGAGCTCTCGGAGTAGATCTTGCAGCTTGTGTATTCAGGGCTGCCAACTTTTCAAAAAACCTTGGAGTGAGATTTGGTGGGGCCAACCGAAATTTTGCCACATACACTGCAATTTTTTGTATGGCCCATTCAGCGTCATTACCATACAACAAAAACTTTTTTTGTTTGTTTGTTTTTAAATATACCATTTTCCATACATCAGTAGTTCTCAATGTATTAGCCTAACTCAGAATGTACCAACTGAACCAACTGACCCAACAGTAAGACATAAGACACAGCATGGCTCAGATTTGTGCATGTTTACTTTGGGATTCTGTAAAAAAATAAAGTCATCAAATAGTAAACAGATATGCAACATCATGCAAGAAACATTTAAATAAAAATGAAAACCCCCAAAAGCTATGTTACTGTGATATTTTTGAACATCCCCAGACTACATGCAGCTAATACCAATTTAAATTAAAAAAATAAATAAAATTAAAGTTTAACCATTTATACAAACAATTCCCAAAATAGGGAGGCTACTGTCAAAGTTCTTAAGATCTGTGTGCTTTGTTGTAGGCTACTTGCTTGTGGCCTTTTTTGAGGCCTTGATGATTTCTGGGGAGGGCTCCCTCGTGAAGCAGGACTCCAGGCCAGCCATCTTTATTGTCATTATTGATGACAGGGTTCCATCCAGAGCCAGGCTGTTCCTGGTTTTAGTCTCTCTCTCTGCATCTGCATTGGAGTGGGGTAACACCAGGACCAGCTTTGCAATGGTGGCAAGCCTTATGAACAGACTTAACCCTGTCACCTATGAAGAATGAACCAAGAACACAGTGGAAAAAAAATCTCACATTCCTTTGAAAGATGAGTGAAGGTTGATAATTAATTTTGTCTAAAACAAAATGTACGCACCTACTGTATATGATGCTTTATACATACATAACAAATTATTCTAATTTGTATATACTACTATACATACAGTAATTAATATACAATTATAAAGCAGCATAGAGGAACGGTTTTGTATAGATAAAACAGACAAATTAATTAGGCATCAACCTACAGTATACTTTTACAGCTGCATTGAAACCTCAAAATAATATGTACAAAGCTCTCGAAATGCCTTTAAATGATCTCACAACACAAAAAACAAAAACAATTATGCAAACGTTACTTAAAGTTTAAGAGCACAAACACTTAACATACATACCTGAAAAGAGCGGGGGAAATCAATCTTCTTCTTCTTCTTCTTCTCCTCCTTCTTCTTCTCAGTGCAATCCCGGTGTCAATTGGGCCACAGTGCCACCAACAGCGAAGCAGTCGGGAGGTGTATTGCGCATTGAAACAGGGACTTTTTTTATTTTGGCTCAGACGGACACTTCAGCGTGAGAAATCGGGGGTGTGGCGTGAGAGCGTGTGAAGCCAATCAAATCCATGTGTCTCACGGCCAATGCGTGAGAGTTGGCAGCCCTGGTATTACAGTCTCTGTCCTGTAGTATTCAGGACCACTTTGATGCAAGTTACCTGAAAAGACCTTTGTTCTCTCAACACTTCTTCCCTTTCTTATAGTCTTCCCTTTCTTATAGTCTCTTTCCATACATTCACCACACAAACAACCTCTGCTCTAACTCACAGTGGTGGAGGGCTTTCTCTTTCAGGTGTCACAGCGAGCACCGTGGTGGATCTGCAGAAGAGAATAGTTGGTGGTGACACGTGTGGACCAAATGAGCGTTGGTACCACGTGAAATTGACTGCAGTTCAGGGCAACACTGGGTCGCTCTGTGGTGGTTCTCTGATCAGTGACTGCTGGATTCTGACTGCGGCTCACTGCTGGGAGCAGGGACGGTGAGAAAGTGAACGTTTTACTTAAAAACTACCAACATGCACCATTTCTCGCTCATAAATTGAATCTGAAAGATAATATATGTTGGCTTATGTTCATGTCCATTAATTACTAACCTACACAATTACAATCTGGTATTCACACTAATTCAGTGATGTTCCTCTTTAACCTAAATTTCATAGATACATTACTACAATCTATATAATTTTATTGTATATAGTCCACCTTGCACTCTGTTCTGGTGGCGTGTCTCTTGCGTTGCCTATTTTACTATTAATGCACCGTTTCATGTGTTCAGCTGTGCACCTCCGCCACAAGGGGGCACTGGCATAACAGTCAACAGCCTTGTGTGTAAAAAATGTGTCAATGTAATTAAGTAATTTATTTACATGTTCAGTTTCAAATGCAAAACTTGTGTTTGTGCAATATGCTGTTTATGTTTTTGTGCAAGAATGCCTCAAATTTTTAATACTGGCATTACATAATTACTATTTCACAGAGCACTGGTATCCTGCTGTTTGTGTTAAATTGTGTTGGAACAGTTACTGAAACTGGCTTAATATGGCACAGCCCCACCTAGAATATTTTTCACCAGCCGCCACTGCATGACAACTACTGCAAAAAACCTGAACATGTACTTTACAGGGAGCAAACGAGGATCCATAGGCCTCCAAGGCTGCAGCCAGTCCATACAACAACAAAACAGCGCAGCAAAGTAGCGCCTGTGAGCCTGTGCTCAGGGCAAAACAATCTGGAGGGCTCGGCAGCTTGAGCCTGTTAGCCTGTGCTCAGGGTGACCCACACTTGAAGTTACAGACACAAATCTTCTCACACATTTGCGGATCTCACACAGCAGAACAGGAAGAGTAGCAAAAATCACGTGTACAAAGAGAGCCAATTGAGAGGCCCGACTGAGTTAAAGCTGAAGACATAGGTATTTATAAATCTGTTATTTACGGATCTCTGTACGCATTTGCAGATCTGTGTACAGATTTACAGATCACAATACACTTGTAAATCTGAATACAGATTTGTAGATTATTTTACACATTTACAAATCTGATAACGCACACACAGATTGAGATATGCATTTGCAGCTATTTTGCTACCATAATGGCCCCATAGATCCGTACCGTCCCCACTTTTGATATCCCTCCTGTTGAGGTATCTAGCACACAGATCTGGTGCTAAAAGGTGGAGCTGTGAACACTGCAGTCTGATTGGTCAATAGAGGACAGTCACTCTGCTCAAGGCTGAGCTGTGGC